AAATGCAAGTAGGGTTAAAATATATGTAGAAAGGCATAGGAAGTGGTGAAAAAAAAGTCTGCCTAGGGTTAGCCCCAGTCCTAATACCCACAATTTAGAAATATTAATATTTATGAGTTAATCACAGTATGAGTTAAATAGGCTTACATGCATTGGTCTTGAGGAACTCTATCCACATAGCATACGTTGTTCCTGTGGGAAAATATAGTTTAAGTTCCAAGTAACAAATTTATGGACTCTTGGAAGACAACTCTCAGTATCTGGCCTAAGTAGTTCAGTTGACTTCATGATTAGAATAATCAGTGTTTCCATAGTATCTTGCAAAACTGCAGTATTTATAACAATTTTAAGTAGATTGTGCCAAAGATCAACTGTGAGTGGCAGACTTAATTCTAGATTTTGTGGCTTGCCCAGCACCAGTTTGGTTAGCATCAAGGAACACGGGCAGAGCTGCTTAAAGAACTAATATTTTGACGTTGCCAAGTGTATTATATAAATGACTGTTTTTCTCCCTTACATTTTAGGCATCATAATATGGGAGAATTTAGGCTACCTCTTAAGGTATAGTCTGTGGATGTCAAGATGAGAGCTCTTTTTCTGTCTGCATCTCTGAATTCTCCACACAAACCATAATTAGGAACTATGGCTGTTATTAAAATACTTAGCTTGGCACTTTTACATATGTGACCAGCTTGCCTTCAGTCTTGAGGTCACTGGAAAAACCTGACAAAAAGAAAAATCACAAAACAATCAAAACCTGAAAATAGTCTCTTAATGGTTGGACCGTTCTCAATAGAGTGTTTCTGTTGAGGCACTGCAACTGAAATAGCCAAAGAAAGAGCCGATATGCTAATCAGCTAAAATTATTTTATAGGTCTCAAATTATACATGAGTCTTGGAAAAGAATATATATTAGGAATAGGCAGAAATAATGTTAGCAAAGTCAGGGAAAGGATATGTATATAACAGATGAGTAGTAGAAAATAATGAGCTCACCAGCATCTCTCTCATTAGAGCACTTATTTACCGTGGCCATCCCTCTCTCCTCTGCATGCCTATCCAAGACCCTAAGATGTCTGAACTCACTGTTCTACCACAGAACACATTTCTCTACAGCAAACGTGGAGTATGGAGGCACTCCAAATCAGTCCTAGTTGACTGCAAAATTACAGGACCAATTCTGTTTTCACAGTTCATAAGGAATACCTGTTTGAAACCTATAGCTTCTATTTTTTTTCCTTACTGGAAATAAGTATAAAGAAACAAAAGACCAACTTGTACTTTATTATCAAAAATGGAAATTTTAAGATAAAGTTAGTATGTTTAAAAAAAATTAGTATCTTTGTACAGTCAGAATTTAGACTGTACAAAGAGAATCAGTAAGTCAGAGACTACTCTATAGTTTGATTAATTGAACATATGTAGGTTCCAGACACTGGTAAAACTGACAATGCTCTCCTGTGTACCTGTATTCTGAACATACTTGCAAGTAACATGTTCTTTGTTTATATTACTATTACTACTTATTAGCTATAAATTACTTGAAAACAGATATCACATGTTATTCATATCCATTTCTCCACTTTTTAGTAGAGTACATGACATACATCAATGGTCAACACATTTCTTAAATAAACTATAAGTATCAACTCAGTTGAAATACATAAACCTCTAGTTCCAATCCTAAAACACATGTGTGTAAGCATACATATACAAATATATATATATTTTGAAAAGATAGATGCTATTTTAATTTTTTCTTCACAAAGATGGTAGTTGATTTGGGAACTAGAAACTTCACATTGAATCGGTGGTTACATATTTTCCCAGGGAACAGTAACATCAACTTGATCTTAATCACAAAGTAATGCCTCAAAACTAAATGTGGTACATATGTTAAGAAATTCATGTCAGGGGTCTAATTCCCAAACAAGAAGACTTGTAGAAAACAGAAAAATGTCCTAAATGAGATCTCTGTAACTTGTACAGAGATTAAAAAAAAAAAAAATCACTATTAGCCATACCCAACACCATTTATTGAGTATTTACTACGTGTGCTGAGGGTGTGCTGAGTATTTTGCTAAAATATCTTATTTAGCCCCCAAAATAATATGAGGCAGGTATTATCATCCTGTTTTACTAAGAAAATTTTTTAACTATTTGGGAAAAAACCATTGGACTCAAGAGATGCTCTGGGTCAATGTTTTCATTTTACATTAAGAAAAAGAGCCCCAAAACAAAAGGAACAGAAGAAAGGAAAGACATAAATGGATAAAAAACAATGAGTATTATTCAGCCATAAATAAGAAGGAAATCTTTCCATTTAAAACATGGATGGCCCTTGAGGTATTATGCCAAGTGAAGTAAGTCAGAGAAAAATACTGTATGATCTCACTTACATGTGGAATCTTAAAATCGTCAGATTCATAGAAACAGAAGGATGGTGGTGGCCAGGGGCTGAGGAAATGGGGAGATGTTGGTCAAAGGGTACAAACTTTCAGTTACAGATAAGTAAAGTTCTGGGGAGCTAGGTATAGCATACTGACTTTAACAATGCTGTACTGTATACTTGTAAGTTGTTACGACTTTCATAACAGAGAGTAGAGCCTTGATGTCCTCACCATAACAACCACAAAATGGAAATCATATGAGGTGAGGGATGTGTTAACCTTATGTGGTAAATATTTCACTTTATATATGTATGAAATCATTACATTGTACATTAAACTTATATATGTTATCTGTCAATCTTATCTCAATAAAGCTGAAAAAAAAATCAGATTACTAGATAATCGGCAGAAATTAGGCCAGAGAGGGAGGTTTTAGTTAAGTTGTAAAGTAAAAGCAAATAGTCTGTATATTTCCTGAAGGCACTGTGGAGCTAATAAGTAATAATTATGATGATTCTTTTTATAGCAGCAGCTACCATTTGTTGAATCCTTGAGATACTAATGTGAGTTTTATAACCAAAACTTTATAGGACTCAAATCCATTCCTGTGTGTCAAAGCCAGTGTGGCTCTTAATTTTGGTGTTTTGTCTTCTGCAAGGTCGTTTTCATGACATGAATATACCACCTAATAATAAAATAGATTATAGATCTTTGAGAAAAACAGATATGAAGAACATACACATTTGAAGCTTAGGATCTACGTGAGCACCTCTTCTGAACTGCAGAAACCACATATTTCTGCCTCATCAAGTATAGTCACTCAAAGGCCCTGAAGGCAATCTCACAACTAGTTGCCTAACACAGAACTCATCTATCACCTTCCTAAAATCTTTCAGCATCTCTGTTATCCACAGTGATAAATTTACAAAGAAGAAAACAAAAACTCCAGAAGTAATTGTCTAGCCTATCATTTTATTTTTACTTTTCACTTTAATGCAACTACAGGTGCTAAAAAGTAGCAAAACTGGCCACCTAGAATTGCACAGATCTCTTTTACTGGTATAACAGTGGCCATTTACCCTTTGCCATTTACCACCTGTGTAGCCTAAAGCAAATTACTGTTATTTAACATTACCATTTACCTTTAAAACAAACACTCCTACTAGAAGCAAAGTTGTTTTCTTGTTTGTTTTACTGTGCAACATCCACAATAAAAATATTGTGGGGAAGTGATTAAAAGGTGTTTGCTCTGATAGGATGCCTCAGTGAGACAGTTTCCTAGTCTGACATTCCATGAAATGGAACTACCCACTTGAAGCAGAGATGCCCCTAAGGTACTGCCTTCAATGCATCCTTAATGGAGGGAGGGAGTTCACAAGGCCTTCAATAATGAAAGGCTGAAAAAAAAAACAGAACTGTTGAGATACACCACAGAAATAAAAGCAGAGGACAAAGTCCAAGGTAGCTTCCATTTAACATCTCAGCAGAGAGTCAGGCATAATGACGAGTGAAGGAAGACGGACATGCAAGAACGTACTACTGTCCCATCCCTGTGAAAGATGGTAACATGGACAAACCAAGTCACAGGGGTCAGTCAGGACAGCAGTCACTTCCAGGCACAAAGGGGAAGGATACTGTCTGGGAAGGGGGCCGAGGGAGCCTTCTATGATGCTAAAAATGTTCTATATCTTAATCTAGGTAGTAATTTCATGAATACATTTGTAAAAATACACTGGGCTGTGCACTGAAGATCTGGGCACTTTACATTAATAATACCTCAAAAATAAAACAAGTTAAGGGGAATGGGGGTCAATCACAAAAATCCTGTAAGATGCTGTAAATTTTAACTTCTGTTTTTAAATTTTTGTTACCTATGATCTATGTCTCCATGGTGCAAAGCAGTAACTGTGTTATAAAATAAGGTCAGTGTTTCTCTGAACACAGCTAGTACGGTGGAAGCTGGGTAGTCTTTGTTCCTTCTGTGTCTGGGTCTGAAGGAAAAGAGTGAGTGGCAGTCACCAAGTGCCTAAAGCAAGGACCAGAGAGCATAGGAGACAGTTTGGGCCTGAGAGGCCACACAGCATCTCAGAGGTTTTGCCTTTTATTGGAGTTGGTTAATAATCCATCTGGTGCCATAACATACCCCTGATATCCTGCAGGTAGTTATTAAACCTATCTACCTGGTTAAAAATATACTCATTCTTCCAACAGAATTTTTAGAAATTACTTCCTCTCAAATCAATTTCATTATGAAATCTAACTTCAGGCACAAGAAATATAAACTGTACCTCAATCATCACTAGCTCTGGGCAATGCCAAGGAAAAACCATGTTTAAACAATGTGAAGCTATACACACTCCATTTTATAGCTTTCATTAGCTGTTAGAGCCATGCGCTGTGCTTCTCTGACACATTTATGGAAGATGTTTGAGAGAGTCACAAAAGAAGGGGGTATGTGAAACCGATGAACGAACAAACCTAGACTAACCAGTCCTTTACAGCCCCACCACCCGACAGAAGAAAAGCGATGCAATGGTCTAAGACAAAGCAAGTATAATGAGCAAGGCCCTGTAACAAACCCACCATCTCAGTGGATGATCTCACGCTCACCTTTATCACGATCATAGAGTAAATCCTCTGTTGAGCAAGGGCTCCCGTCCTGGGACCCTGGAGGACAGAAGGGGGAGACGCAGGGCGAGTGACTGCTGCAGCTGCTGCTGAGCTCCTGCACCGAGGGCGTCTGGGTGTCCACGCTGCGCGTACTGCTGCTACGGTGGTGAGCAGGGAGGGGAGCTCTCCGGCCATCCGGTATATCCAAAGGCTGCAAGAGGAATAGCCACCAAACAGGTGAACGATGGTACTTACACTCCCTTCACAGGGAAAACACATGGCATTTCCTTTGATTTCCTGTTCCACTGCTGTCACATCCATAACTGACTCTTCAGAGACTAAAGATACCAATCCTGCATCTTAAATTAATCCCAAAGTAGTGTTTCAAAATAATAGGATAAACCATCAAGAAATTCAATAGCTCCCCCTATGTATTTGTAGGTGAGCACTTCCCATAAATCCCCTCAGGGTCAGGAGCTTTGTTAAAATGCTGTATCCCTAATGGCAAGCATTGTGTCCAACACACAGCAGACATTTAATTAATGTTTGCTGAATGAATTAATTGAACTGCTCAAGAAATCACTTTGACTTGCTAGTAAGAAAACTAAAATCTCATATTCACATGTATGGATTTTTTTTTGTTTTGTTCATTCTTTCTTATCTTAATTTTTTAGAGGCCAGGACCAGACCCCAAGTTTTCTATTTCCTTTGCAAATCACCCAAAATTTCTAGTAAATAAGTTTATTCTATTAGTAGTCAATGGAAAATATCAACATAATTCAGAACTTATTTGTAGGTGAGCACTTCCCATAAATCCCCTCAGGGTCAGGAGCTTTGTTAAAATGCTGTATCCCTAATGGCAAGCATTGTGTCCAACACACAGCAGACATTTAATTAATGTTTGCTGAATGAATTAATTGAACTGCTCAAGAAATCACTTTGACTTGCTAGTAAGAAAACTAAAATCTCATATTCACATGTATGGATTTTTTTTTTGTTTTGTTCATTCTTTCTTATCTTAATTTTTTAGAGGCCAGGACCAGACCCCAAGTTTTCTATTTCCTTTGCAAATCACCCAAAATTTCTAGTAAATAAGTTTATTCTATTAGTAGTCAATGGAAAATATCAACATAATTCAGAACAATTTTACCAATCTGGTATCCAACTGAGTAGGACGATACATAATTTTACTTGGTTCTAATGCATTATTCTGAGTGGCAAAAGAAATAGAAATGAAACTATAATCATAGAATCATGTATTTTGGACCTGAGAAGACCGTAGAGCTCATTAGCCCAATGTCTTTACAAATAAAGAACCCATAGTTTGGAGCACTGGTGACATGGCTAATTAAATGGCATCAGAGCTTCTGCTGCAGTGGACTCCTACTTTGCTTCTGCTGTAAAGACAGATCTTACTCCATTTTCCTCATCTATGTGCTAACAAAAAGCAAGGTCAACAAATATAATTTTATATATTTATCACTTAAAATATTTTTTGTTTTTAATACAGACAAGATTTCGGTACTAGTAAAAAGAACCAATATACTCTTAGTTTATTTACAACTTATTTTCACTATTTACTGCTCTTATTCTGAGTTCTATTTCAGAATTTTGAGAAACACTGTCAGGGTTTGAAAATGATTAAAATAAAATTAGGCAAGATTCAAAATATATTGATTTTTCATTTAACAAGCTAAGTGAAGGATGAAAACTTTAAGTGCTGAAATAAAAAACTTCATTTATCTCTGCAATGCTGTTAAACCAAAACTATCCTAGCTTCACAACTTCACAATTATTATTCTACTGGAAAGAGGATATTCAATTATGTAAATATTAGTTCATTTGTAAATAAATAAAAAAAGTAAAACTTTCCAATTTAGGAAAGAAACATTCCCAAAGGATTATTAATGAACCTGATCAAATGCTAAGAAAATGTTCCTTTACAATTAAAATACATTTTTTTCATTTACTTTTATTTAGATTTTAATTCCCACTCTGCACTAAACCTTAGAATGAACAAGGAATATTGTTGCATTATTTTGGGACAAAACTGTATGACATTATAAGACGTGAGGTTCTCAGACTAACCCATAAAGATCATTTTTAGAACATATACCTGAGGGCCCCTCATGAGAGAGGTATTTCTCAAAACTTAGATATTTAGGTCAAGGAAAATGTTACTTTAATAAAAGGCTCAATATTGGTAACTGGTAAAAGAATAAAATACTAATTTGCACCTAAAAAATGTTAAAGAATTTAATTTATCTTTCATTTATGTCCTACTTAAACACAATCTTTCTGTGTTTCTATTTCCTAATCTATAACTGGATAATACAGTCAATTTTTAACCAAATTTTGTTTTTTTGGGGGGAGGGATGATAGAAGAATTACAGTACAAACAGATTTTAAAAACCTATACATTTATACAAAAGAAGAGTGGGAAATATTAAAGGCTTATTAGTACATCAATAAACTTAACAGGACAATTTTTTTAGCTACTGGAAGATTCACTGATGGTGACATTTTTATTTATTAAAAGTTTGAGGCATATTTAAGCTTAAATCTAAAAATTCTAAAAATTAATATTTTAATTATGTGTGTGCAGGTTATCCCAGATAATTCTGAAATGGCTACTATGGAATTAAAATATGATTTATTTAAAAGCAGAACTAAGTTTTAAATTCTAGTATAGTTTTGCTTTTGAGTTAAGGAATTAGCAAATATGTGACTATCTCATCTTCAAAAAGTCAGAAAAATTACACTTCCTTACATCACTGTTCTTAAATGTTACCTAATGTATAAAGGAAACACCTGAATGTAAATAGTTAAGACATAGCATAATTTCTTATTATTAATTATTTTCCCATAAAGGATTCCTTTATGGGAAAATAATACAAAGTAAAAGTTTAATGTGAAATATCGAGTAAATGGCACAACCTTTTGCAGGAGAGTAACTTTTCCAATATTTATCAAAACTTAAAATATACAAATATTTTGATTCAGTGATTTCATTTCCAGGAAATTGTCAGTAAGAGTATACAATATTTTCTAAAGCATGGCTTGTGATGAGAAAAACTGAAAGCAATCTAAATGCCCATCAACAGGGAACCTCTAAATTATGGTACATTCATACAGTGATTCACTATTATCAGCATACACAAACATGTATGAGGAAAGATATACAAGACTATGAATAATGTTCTTATCTGCTAAGCAATACTGAGATTTGAAAGAAAGTTTAATTTTTTATTTTTATAAATGTTAAAGTATTTATATTTGCTTATATTTTAAGATTAGGTTTCAATCAGTTTTAAAACCTATACCTTTTATGAAGGAATCAGATACACACTTGACATAAAATTAAATCTTTTATTGCCAAAAAACTGTTAGACAAATAATTAAGCCAAAGATGACTTGATGGTTTTATTTGTTGAGTATACCTTTAAAATGTAGTCATGTATAGGTTCACATGCAGTAGTGTCCAGATTTCTTTTCTGGGACAAAGGTAATTTATAAAGTATTTTTGATGAATTCAAAATGGGTCAATGACCTAAATATAAGATAAAGCTAAAACTGTAAAACTCTTAGAAGAAAACACAAGAATAAATCACTGTGACCTTAGATTTAGGCAGTAGTTTCTTAAATATGACACCAAAATTTGCAATGACATGAATGGAGCTAGATGATATTATGCTCAGTGAAATAAACCAGGCGGAGAAAGACAAGTACCAAATGATTTCACTCATATGTGGAGTATAAGAACAAAGAAAAACTGAAGGAACAAAACAGCAGCAGAATCACAGAACCCAAGAATGGACTAACAGTTACCAAAGGGAAAGGGACTGGGGAGGATGGGTGGGAAGGGAGGGATAAGGGCAGAGAAAAAGAAAGGGGGCCTTACAATTAGCATGTATAATGTGGGGCGGGGGGCACGGGGAGGTCTGTACAACACAGAGAAGACAAGTAGTGATTCCATAGCATCTTACTACACTGATGGAAAGTGACTGTAATGGGGTTTGTGGTGGGGGTCTTGGTGAAGGGGGGAGCCTAGTAAATCATGTAATTGTAGATTAATTATACCAAAATTAAAAAAAAATGTGCCCAAGAATAAAAAAAAATATGACACCAAAACTACAAATACCAAAAGAAAAAAAATACATCAGACTATCAAAATTAAAAATATTGTGCTTCAAAGGATACCATCAAGTAAGTGAAAAGACAACCCAGAATGGGAAGTAATTTCAAATCACGTATCTGGTAAGAATTTTATCTAGAAAATAAAGTTTATAAATAACTTTTATAATTAATAATAAAAAGACAAATGAGCGATTTTAATATGGGCAAAGGACCTAAATAGACAATTTCTCAAAGAAGATATACCAATGGCCAATAGCACATGAAAACCTGCTTAACATCATTAGCCATCAGAAAACGCCTATCAGCACCATGATGATATACCACTGCAAACCAACCACTAGGATGGCTATAATAAAAAAAGATTACAAATGGTGGTAAAGATGGAAATTGGAACCTTCATTCATTACTGTGGGAATGTAAGATGGTGCAGTGCAGCCACTTTAAAGAACAATCTGGTAGTCTTTCAAAAGGTTAAACAAAGAGTTATACTAAACCAGCAATTTCACTCCTAGGTATATATCCAAAAGAAATGAATATTATGTTCACATGAGATTTCACAGCAGCATTATTTTTAATAGCCAAAAAGTAGAATATCTATATATTTCATCAACTGATAACTGGGTAAATACAATCCACACAGTAGAGTCTTATTTGGTAACTAAAAGGAATGAAGTACTGATACATGTTACAACACGGATGAACTTTAAAAGCACTATGATAAGTGAAATAAGCCAGTTATAAAAAAGGCTACATGGTATATGATTCCACTTACATGAAATGTCTATAATAGGCAAATACATAGACAAAGAAAGTAGATTAGTGGTTGTCTGGGTTGGGAGCATTAGAGAGAAATGAGGGAGGACTGCTAAAGGGTATGCAGTTTCTTTTGGGGTGATGAAAATGATGCAAAATTGAACGTGGTGATGGTTGCACAGCTGTGAATATGCCAAGAACCACTGCACTGTACACTTTAGATGGGTAAGCTGTATGGTATGTGAATTATAGCTAATAAAGCTGATACCAAAAAAGGCCTTTTTAAGACCTTTAAGTTCACCATAATAAAAAAAAAAAAGATTTCAAACTTCCAATGTAATCTTACCTTGGACACTTCCTCCTTCCCATTATTTTCTTTAATGAATACCTTTTCTAATTCAGGACTTATTCCTTCTACATTGCAGGGCACACGTGAAACAAATGATTTTGGCACTGATATATTTGACAGTGGTACAGGGACTGATCTTGATCCAGGAGCCTACAAAACAGAAGATAAGGTGGCATTAAATTATTTGTGGTCAAAGAAATCAAGAAATCAATGAACATAGTAAATCTGAAAATAGAAACTCACAGAGCAGAGTTATTTTGACATTTCAAATAAATATAAATTCAGATACAAAATTTAGGTTCTAATGTAAGGAAGTACGGTAAGAAGTATAGTGAAAATAATCTTTTTTGTAAGTGTAAAGGTAACCGTTTACACTTTTATAATCTTATGCACTATTTGTTTTCCTTTTCTGTTTTTACTGAGAATTCATAATTGAAATCATTTAAGTTATGTGTATCACGTGATTCTACAGTGCAGCTCTATGTATATGTTTAAAAGATCTGTTTCTCGTACTGTGACAATTACCTTCTAGTATTTTTCATTTCCATTTTGTCAACCATTTAAGAAAACCTCTTGAATTGGTAAATAAAGTGGCAACAATATCATATTAGTTCAATGACTCTTTCAAGTTGTTTTTACAGGTCCTGTCAAGGAGTAGAGGGTTGGGGGAGAACAAAAAGTGTAAGATGATCCTTTTGATGCTTAAGCAACTTACACAACAGAAGAGAAATAAAAATAAAGATGGAACGGGATAAAAATAAAAACAACATGTGATCACCATCTTATTCTGAATGATTAAAGTCAATATATATGGTTCATAAGGTAGACTGTTAGTCGTTGATTAGCACATGAATATTTCCTATGCTGTGTTCCTGCCATCTGTGAATTGTTAACTGTTGATGTCCTTTGTCTCTTATTGATGCAAGAGCTTTTTCTCTATTGAAGTTGCAGTTCTTTGTCATATATTTGCTGTTTACTTTAGTATCAAATACTTTTCAGTACTTTTATGTTTTTTCGTGTTTAAATACTTAACCTACTGTGATTCATTTTTGTATATGGTGTGAGGTAGTATTTTTTCCCCACATAGTAATACAACTGCTCCAACATTTCTTTATGGAATCTGTATTTGATTTCCTTGGGCTGTTATCTGATAATCCTTATATAGAGGTTTACTTTAAATGCTGCAATTTTATAGTAATTTTGCTATCTTGCAGGGAAAGCCTTTCAAATTTTCTTTTCTATTAGTTGGCATTACTTTTCTATATGACATTTGAAACAACTTTTCAAGTAACAATTCCTTTCAAATATCCATTGGAACTCAATTTGTATATCAACTTCAGGTAAATTTCTGTATGAAGAATATGAAGTCCTCCTTTGCATGAATGTGTAAAGACTTCCCTTTTATGTCTCTAGTTTATGTATCACACCCTCAACAAAGTCTGACAGTTTGCATATTTCTTTAGGACTTGTTCTATGCATTTTATATACTTCATTATATATATTAACTTGTTATTACTAATTGTGACATAATAAGACATATAAATTTGGCTTCTGTTCCTGATTCCTGACACAAAGTTCCTAAAATTCCCGTAATTCCCTGAGTTAGAGGGTTACTGGAGCATCTTTTGTACCAATATTTAGTTTCTGACCCCAGATCCTGACATAGACCTCTTAAATCCCCTGGAATTTCCTGGGTTATAGAAGCAAGAATCTTGTTTTAATGAGGTAAATTTCTTTATGGGATCCTGGATACCTTCAGGATCGGTGTTAGTCATGATTAGAAGCTTGGAACTTTTAGCCCTGCACCCCATCCTCTGGGAGAGGGGAGAGGGACAGGAGACTGAATTAATAACTGATCATGCCTATGTGATGAAGCCTCCATAAAAATCCCTGAACTATGGGTTCAGAGAGTGTCTAGGTTGGGGAACACATGTCCACATGCCAGAAGAATGGCATACCCAATTGTATAGGGACAGAAGCCTCTGCACTTGCGACCTTTCTACACCTTATCCTGTGTTCCTCTTTCCCTGGCTGTTCATCTGTACCCTTTACTGAATGCTTTATATATAATGAAATAGTAAATGTCTTCCCCCTGAGTTCTGTGAGCCATTACAGCAAATTACTGAACTTGAAGAAGTGAAGAAGCAAATTATTTCATTTAGTTGTGTGTACAGCCAGTTGGTCCAAAATACAGATGACAACTTGGGAATGGGACTGGTCTCTGAAGAGGGAGCTCAGCCCTTAACCTGAGGACTCTGTGCTAACTCCAGGTAGTCAGTATTATAATTAAATTGTAGGACACTCAGTTGGTATCTAGAGAGTTGGAGAATTGGTTGGTATGGGAAAAAGGGTTGTGCATACAGGGTACCATAGATTACTTTTACTAGAATAAGAGAAAATTACTTATTTTATTTTAATATGGTTATATTTTATCTAATCATTTCATTAGGTACTCAGTTTTTTCTTTTAATTATGAAAAGTTATAATCATAAACATAATTAAACTGAATTGCATAATGGATCAGGTACACATCATCCAACTTAAAAAATTATCAACATTTGCTAATCTTGTTTGAGCTAAACATCCATTTTTTTTGTTCTTAGAAGACTTTAAAGCACATCTGAGACTTCACCTATAAGTATTTCAGTATGTATAGCAAAAGATAATTATTTTTACACATGACCACAATACCAAAAAATTTAGTGTAAATTGGAAACAAGTGTAAAAGTCTTCTTTGTTAGGTCAAGTCAATAGACCTACTATACATGCATTGATCTCTTACAGTAAAGGTGCTTGAAATAAACAGAGTAAGAATAATATATTAGTTCTACCAGATTAAGAAAAAAAGGAAGACATAATGTGAATTTTCACTTGAAATGTCCGAAGCTTGCTTGTTAACTGCATGTTTGTTTTACACTTTGATAAACTATAAACCTGTGTACAATAAAATATTCCCATTTTAAGTATGAAGTTCGCTGAACTTTGTAACTATATATAGTCATCCAATTATCAGTATAATCACATTTTAGAACCTTCTGTCAGCCCAAAAAATTCCCTTGGATCTCTCTACAGCTAGTTCTTACCCCTAGTACTTTGTCTCTAGAATTCTGCCTTTTCAAGAGTTTAATGTAACAAATCACATGGTATGAAACCTTTTACTCTTGACCTTTTTCACTTAGCATCATGATGTTTTTGAGCATCAACTATGCTCTAAGTACTAGTAGTTCCTTTATACTGCTGAACAGTACTGTATGGATGTATGAAATGTTTTATCCATTCACCAGTTGGTGGTATGTTTGATTCCATTCTTTGACTCTTATGAATAATGATGAACACTGATGTCCAAGTCTTTGTGTGGACATGTTTTTATTTCTTAAGCTAGCTATCAAAAGGTGGAATTTTGGGGCTGTATGCTCACCATATGTTTAACTGTCAAAGAACATGTGAAGCTATTTTCCAAAGTGGCTATACCAGTTTGTGTTCCCAGCAGCAATATGTAGCTGTTGTGTTGATCTACCTCCTCATCAACCATGGTATTGTCAGCGTTTTCTATTTTAGTTATCCTATCATTAACTGTACTAGCTTAGTTCATTCACTTTGCTTTTCTAAATATATAACATGCAAATTGTGATAAGTTATTTTTTTTCTTACTACTGCTCTGTCTACAGCCTCTAAACTGCTAGTAAATAATATCAGTAATTGCAGACATTTGTAACTTGATTTGTATTTAACAGAAATACTTCCAATATTTTATTGTTAGGATTGTACCACATTTGCAGCTAGTCACATTAAGAAGTATTCTATTTTTAGTTAAATAAGTTTTTATCACACACAGATACTGAGCTTTTATCAAGTGTCATTCAGCATCTACTTTGACCTTGTAATGCATGAACTAAACTAATATATTTCCTAATGCAGAACCATCCTTAATTTGTGAAATATCCCCAAATTGAATTTGTTTTGATACACTACTTGCCTGTCTTCTCTACTACTATATTTGATTTACTAAAATTTATAACAGTAATTTTAATTAGGTAAATTTGGTCAGAACAGCATTTTCCAAATTTTGTTCTATGGGATATATTACTAGATGTTTTCAAGGGGAAAAAAACCCCAACACAACTCTAATCCTCAATATATTCACATGTAAATAGTGGTAAAATATAATATTAAGAGATACAGAGACAGATGGGTTAAAGTGCTGTTAGGAAGATTAAATGAGATAAGGCTCATAGTTGCTCAACAAGTAAATGAACTAGGATTTCAGCACAGGCCAGTATCAGTCATCTATGAGACCACTACACTCTGCTACATCTGTTATTAAAAGAATATCCTACATATGGCTAAAACAAAACCCAAAAAACAAAAAGCTTAACAATAATTTAATAAACAGTAGTGATTTAGTAGAGATAGGGATTTAGATGAATTTTTTAATCCTAAAATGATGGATTCTTCCTTAATAATAAACCCCTTAAGAGGAACCATACCCGTGTGAACAAGAAGGTAGCCCACCTGCACGTGACTGATTGCTATGTGGTTGCCGTGGAGAGGTGAGTGCCGGTCCTTCTCCTTACCAAGCCGACCACTCTGCTTACTGCGCTGTAGTTGCTGCCTCAGTTTGGCAATCTGCTTCGGGGAGAGAGGAGGAGAAACAAAAAGAGAACAAAAGTGAACACCAGTTTTTAAGTACTTATTTCTTTAATTTCTGAATATTGATAAATACATTTTTCTCAAAGGTTTCAAGTCATATTTCCTACAATGACTTATTCTTGTAAGTTTTTATGATTAAAACTATGGAAAATAAGAGGTCCAAACTTTCAGTTATAAAATAAATAAGTCATAGGGTTGTAAAGTACAGCATAGGGAATACAACACTAATACTGTAATGATTATATATGGTTATCATATATGGTCAGTATACTATAGATGATAACTAGACTTACCATGGTGAGCATTTTGTAGTTATGTGTAAATGCCAAATTACTATGCTATATGCTTGAAACTAATATTGTATGTTAACTATACCTCAATAAAAAATATATATGCCAAAAATGCTTCACTTGTATAATTTAAATAGTATTGTTGATAAGTATGTAGACTAAATTACCCCAGAATTTTTTCAGATTTTACCTTGTAACACCAGGAATATCTTCCTCTTTAAACACTTTTGGTAAGGTTAAAAGCTAGTATTTCATGCATTTATTGATCAAAGTTAAACCTAATCTCTTAATATAGAGTTCATGTTAGTTTCTGAATTTCCATGTTACATAAACAAAATTAATTTGATTTATCAACTGTTAAGTACTTTAAAACTGTATATCCTATGGTGGTGAGGAAAGTCAAGCAACCAGTATTAGTAACTTGTCAGCATTTAATATCTTACTATAATCTTTAGTCACACAACTATTTTCTAAGCTATAATTGACACACAATATTCTACTAGTTTAAGGGTACATGTTGGTTTGGTACATTTATATATTGCAAAATGATACCACCACAGCTCTAATACCTCCATCTGGTCACATAATTACCATCTCTTTTTTGTGGTGAGAACATCTGAGATTTATTATCTAAGCATCTTATAATAATAATAATAATAATAATAATAATAATAATAATAATAATATAATGCAGTATAATTAACTTTAATCAAAATGCTATATATTGGATACTCAGAACTCATTCATCTTATAACTGGAAGTACATGTCCTTTGACACATTTCCTTCCGAAATAATCCCTGGTAACTACCACTCTACTCTCTGTTTCCATGCATTTTTTTAGATACCACAAACAAGTGATACTGTACGGTATTTGCCTTTCTGTGTCCAACTTATTTCACTTAGCAAAAGCCCTCAAGTTTCATCCATGTTGTCACAAATGGCAAGATTCCTATCTTTCTCGTGACTGAATAATATTCCTTTGCATATATATATACATCATCTTTTTCCAGTTATCTGTTGACAGATACTTGGCTATAGTCACATAACATTTAAAACAAATATGACTTAGGGTGTATTCTCCTAAATGGAATGGTAACACTACCAGGCTTAAGAGAAAAGTTATTACTACAACATGGCTTGGAATTCATTAAACTACTAATATATTTTAGGTGATGTATATGTAATATTCTTTAAAGTGTGCTAGTCCAGGAGTAAAATATTCCTGAGCATTTTAAAGGGAATCATTAGCAATTTGGGGAAAGTTATTTACTACTGGTATTATTTTCCTTGTACAAAAGATGGTATCACCTAAGTGTTCCTTCAACACCACCAACAGTGAGCCATTTTATGTTACCTACTAGGAAAAGTGTAAGTAGAAAGTAAAGTCTGTAAAATATATTGGTTTCCTCAAAGAGATAAAGCAAAAATACAATGTATTTTAATAGTAGCTAAATGCTAACCTCTAATAACCATGGCAATGAAAAGCAAAATACATAGTTGCTTTAAAAACCTGTAATAAAAAGGGCCAAGGGGAAATTGCTGGGAAAACATTTTTTACCTGTAGTAAGTAGTAGGGAAACAGCATAGAAGTAAATAAAGAACCTAAACAAAGAAATAATTTATATCCTTTCTTTTATATTAAGATCCTGGGATTCCTTTATTTTTATAAAGCTCTTTTCATAGCTTAAATGACCTCTCATACAATATTCTTGCAAAGATACACAAATAAGATTATCTATGTTAATATATGTGTTCCTTACTCTCTGTTGAAATGATCATAATTTTCTTCTAGAGAACATTAATTTTCATGAGAAAAGGAATCAAGATTAGTAGGTAATCATTATAAGTCAGGACAGATTATTCTCTATAATAAAAAATAAATAGGATTTCAAATTGTACAAGTCATTTAATTAGGATAGAGATATAAAATTAAGTGTTTTCTGAACATTAATGTTCTAGTGGTGTTTTTAAACCAGCAAGAGCTTATATAGAAGAGTCCATAGTCCCAGGGATTAATCAAGGAATTTGAACTTTTACTTTCAAAATCATCTTTAAAAATAAACAAACAAAAATAATCTGATAATTGACCAATTCTGATCACTCCATTTTTACAAGTCTTTGAGACATCAAACTAAGCTAGAAAAGTTTTAGTTCTAAACAGCTTTAACAAACCCTGAAAACAGAAAGGATACATCATGGCACATACCTACTTTGCTTGGAACACTGCATAGATGTATATTATGCAATCTTATAGTTTTCACACAATACTGTTTATCTTTGGAATGTAATACAGTTATGCTCGTTTGCAATTCAGTAGAGATTAGGGTAAAAGGGAGGCCCATTTTACTAAACACACATATATATATATATACACTCAGAACATAACAAATTTTAATCCAGAACTATGTGAAATGAAAGCAAGAATGCCATAAATCCTCCTTTGCTTCAGAATACAGGGGGCTCCTGTGTTATTTACACCACATTCAGAAGAGGAACAGATCTACATAACCACAACAAATACTCTTCACTGTCTATAGCTTTACTAAAAATTTCCTTTCTCTTTACCTGTGATGCTCAAGAGCCCATGGATCATTTGAAGGAACCTCTTTTTCCTAATCTTAGTACCTGTGAGAGTAGACACAGAAGTGTCTTTGGGACAAGGGGTAGAAGGAAACTCCAACACCCCACCCACAAACACACACACACACCCATCACCTCATCCATATCTCCCAACCTCTACCTAAGACAGCCTCTCTAGGCTCACATGCCACTGCATTACACAGAAGTTCTTGGTCCTCACGCTGGTGGGCTTACCCACCCTAGTCATTACAATGACATGCCCACACAACCTCCCTTTATGAAGGAAGCACTAAGTTATACTGACTGGACTTTTTAAACTAAACTATAGATGAATCTTTGTGTTTCCAAGTATTCAAGCTACCCTGTGGCTGTAAGAAAAAATTAAGAATGGACCTTGATGGCATTATACTAAGTGAAATAAAGAAAAACAGTCAGACAAAGAAAAACAAATATGGTATGATATCATTTATTTGTGAATCTAAAAAAATCCTGAAGAAACAGAGAGCAGATTGGTGGTTGTCAGGGCCAGGGGGAAGGGGGGCAGAAAATGAGTGAAGGGGGTCAAAGGGTACAAACTTCTAGTTATAAGATGAGTAAGTTCTGAGGATCTAATGTATAGCATGCTGATAATAGTTAACAATACTGTATATTTGAAAGGTGCTAAGAGAAAAGTTCTCACTAAAGACAAAAAAACTGTAACTAGTGTGGTGAGGGATGTGTTAAATAACCTTACTATGGTCATTTTACAATATATATCAAATCATTACACTGTATGCCATAAACTTATACAATGTTGTATGTCAATTATATCTCAATAAAGCCTTGAAAGAAAAAAAAAATGAGAAGAAAGGACAGAGGAGCCTCCTTTAAACATGAAAGAGAGCTAGCTTAAAGCCAGGGAAAAAAGCACTCTGCTGCTCCTTTTATGTGAACTGTCTCATTCATTTTTCAATAAAAGTGAGATAGGTACTATTATTACCCCATTTGATATGTCAGGAAACTGAGAGGTAGATAGGTTAAAAATCTTGATAAAAGTCACACAATTAATTGGTGAAACAATTATTTGAACTTAGTTAATGGAATTTGAGTCTGCTCTCTTAACCACTATTTTATTTTACCTGAAGAGTCAAGTTAATAACTCACAAGGAGATAAAGAAATCTTAAAAAAGTAAAGACAATAAAAGTGGGAATGAAAATCAGCTCAACTAAGAAAAGAAACACCAACACAGTTACTAAAGATTAATTCAACAAATTATTCTGGAAATAGAGTTCGACAAGTCATGAATCTCAAGGTATTATTCCTTTTTATACGAAAAAAGGGAGTATGTGACAAACTATATTGCATATAAAGATAAAGTGTCCCAACCAGATGGCTTCACAGCTGAATTCTACCAAACATTCAAAGAGCTAAAACACATCCTTCTTAAAATATTCCAAAAAGCAGAGGGGAGGGAATACTTCCAAATTCATTCTATGAGGCCAGCATCACTCTGATGCCAAAACCAGGCAAACACACTACAGAAAAAGAAAATTTTGGACCAATATCCCTGATGAACATAGATGCAAATATCCTCAACAAAAAATTGGCAAACTGAATTAAAAAATATATCAAAAGGATCATCTATCATGATCAAGTGGGATTTATTCAAGGGATGCAAGGATGGCACAATATTTGTAAATCAATCAACGTGACACACCACATTAACAAAAAGGATAAAAACCAAGTGATCATGTCAATAGATGCTGAAAAGTATCTGACAAAATTCAACATCCATTTATGATAAAACTCTCAATAAAATGGGTATAGAGGGTACATATCTCTACATAATAAAGGCCATATATGATACACCCACAGCCAACATCATACTCAATGGTGAAAAGCTGACAGCCTTTCCTCTAAGATCAGGTACAAGACAAAAATGTTCACTTTCACTGCTTTTATTCAACACAGGACTGGAAGTCCTAGCCATGGCAATTAGACAAGATAAAGGGATAAAAAGCATCCAAATTGGTAAGGGAGAAGTAAAACTGTCACCATTTGCAGATGACATGATACTATACACAGAAAACCCTAACAACTCCACCAAAAACCTATGAAAACTAAT